ACGCACTTGTAGGTCGATACTATGGTTTCCCACCATCACTCTCTGTTCTTCTTCTATATTGCCAGTCTGGGAAAAAGTGAGGAAATTGAGTGGTAAATACTCTCACTGACCACCGCTCCCATTCTACGGGTCGCTGTGATTGATGTAGCAAACCCTCTCCTAAACTTGCACAATGAACTTGGCACATCATCTGGTCCGTATATCCTGGGAGGGCTCCATCATATGCCCCTCGTTTCTTTCCTTCTCCTCAAAGTCCTGCCATAGAGTAGTACCGCTTTGGACTTTTCTTCTCTCAGAGAAGAACAGTTATAATGATGTCCTTTTACACTCAAGACAGGAGCAACGCTCTCAGCTTCTGACATCGTCAGCAGGGCCTTGACGACATTCATATTCGTATGTTACAACATTTACAGTCGGTCAGCCCTTGTAGTCCTCTTACAGCTCTTCAATCTTATTTGGGCACAAGGAGTTCGTTTCCCCCAGCTGTGAAATCTACCATTGGGTGTCTCCTCTTGCCGCAAACCGGGTACTTCAGACAATGATGCCTCCACTATCGCCCCATCCGCTTCTACCTAGGCAGTTTGTCAAAGTGATGGAACGTCTCGTAAAACTACGTTTAATGTGGAATTTAGAGACACACACAGTCCTCCTTGCACCGCTAGTCAATATGGCTTTCGTAGGGAACGTTCTACATAACCCCTTACTACGCTTGGATATGTATGATCGTAATGCCTTTGCGAATAAAATCCCTCAGTTATTGCCATATTTTTCTTGACCTTGAACGCATATGACACAACTGAGAATAATATTTGGGCCCAGAGGGGCCATTCCTTAGGCCTCCGAGGCAATCTACCATCCTTGGGGGGGGGGGCGCTTAAGAACATTTTAACTGCCAGACATTTCCGTGTTCGAGTCAATAATGTTCTTTCCCGTACTTCGTCCAAGCTTGAATGTTCCCTCAGGGATGTGATCAAAGCACAACACTTTTTCTCCTCTATGAAATGATTTGGCCTCTGTTTCATCCCACCCAATATTAGGTCATCACTCTATTTTGATGACTATCGCAAGCTTGTGCAGGCGCAGACTGTCTCTTATTACAGTTTTCTCTCCACATGGCGGTCGAACCGTGTTTCCACTTGGCCACCCACTGCATGGGTTTAAATTTTCAAGTACCAAAACTCACCAATTACTTTTCACTAAGACGCTCCTGTTATCTCCGATCATACCTTTGTAAGCTCATTGGCTTCCCGTATTCCCCGAACGTGATACAGTCATTTTTCTAGCCTCTCTTCGATCGTCCCGTTTTTAGCCAGGAAACATCACATAACCTCTCTGAAGGCAACATGTCAACAGCCGCTAAAGCCTTCTTAAAAACCCTTGCACATCTTTTCCTGGGTACTGGATCGTCGAACCTGCTACCCTACATTCACCCTCGTTTTATCGAAAACTCGATTATGGTTACCAGATTATTCCGCACCTCTCCTGCTACCTCCTCTAGCCTTAACCTATCCATCACCAAGGATTACGTATTGTGCCTTGGTGCTTTTCGCTCTTTTCCCCTGTTGAGAGCCACTATACAGAAGCGAATGTCCATCCTTGTCTGATCGCCGTGAGCCCATGTGCCTTGCTACTATGTACGCTCTCACGATCTACACAATCCTTTCCATTTATAGAATAGACACCGATATTAGTAGACATTCTTTATTCGTTTGCCGCCCCTGTTTGCTCCCACCCTTTTCTCTTCTCCTACATTCACTCTTGTCTTCCCATTCAGTTTTAACACCTGTATATATTTCATGTAGCATCTCACTTTCCCTACCACCCGCCGCTGGTAAGTCCAGCTGTGTCGGGTCAGTTCTTCTCATTCCCTTGCTCGAAAGCTCAACTGCCTACATGGCTTCCCGCACTCTTTTTCTTTGATCACTTCCACTCCCATTCCCCATGCCACCAGCTGGGTACACATGATGGCTCTAAGCCTTCAGGACGGCGTCCGGATTCGCCAGCAGTGTTTCCTCCGGACAAGCATCGTGCGGGGACATTTACTATCTTCAGCTAGCATTTTTACTGCTGAACTGTATGCCATTCTTGCAGCACTTATTCGTATCGCATCTATGCGATACGAATAAGTGCTGCCTTAGTGCTCTACAGGCTATACGAAAATTTGATACATCTCATCCCCTAGTTCTCCGTATCCAACTTTGGCTACGCCATTCTCTACAAACATAAAGATATTATTTTTTGTTGGGTCCCTGGTCATGTCGACGTACAGGGCAATGAACAGGCAGACACTGCTGCGCGGTCAGCAGTACATGACCTACCAATTTCCTATCGAGGTGTTCCATTTCTGGACTATTTTGCTGCAATAGCTACCCACCTTCGCACCCGTTGGCAACAACGTTGGTCAACTCTGCTCGGTTTACCTGGAGTTTACCTGGAGAGAGTTCCGGGGGTCAACGCCCCCGCGGCCCGGTCTGAGACCAGGCCTCCTGGGTATCAGAGCCTGATCAACCAGGCTGTTGCTGCTGGCTGCACGCAAACCAACATACGAGCCACAGCCCGCTGATCCGGAACTGACTTTAGGTGCTTGTCCAGTGCCAGCTTGAAGACTGCCAGGGTCTGTTGGTAATCCCCCTTATGTGTGCTGGGAGGCAGTTGAACAGTCTCGGGCCCCTGACACTTATTGTATGGTCCTCTTAACGTGCTAGTGACACCCCTGCTTTTCATTGGGGGATGGTGCATCGTCTGCCAAGTCTTTTGCTTTCGTAGTGGGTGATTTTCGTGTGCAAGTTTCGGTACTAGTCCCTCTAGGATTTTCCAGGTGTATATAATCATGTATCTCTCCCTCCTGCGTTCCAGGGAATACAGGTTTAGGAACCTCAAGCGCTCCCAATAATTGAGGTGTTTTATCTCCGTTATGCGCGCCCGTGAAAGTTCTCTGTACATTTTCTAGTCGGCAATTTCACCTGCCTTGAAAGGTGCTGTTAGTGTGCAGCAATATTCCAGCCTAGATAGAACAAGTGACCTGAAGAGTGTCATCATGGGCTTGGCCTCCTAGTTTTGAAGGTTCTCATTATCCATCCTGTCATTTTTCTAGCAGATGCGATTGATACAATGTTATGGTCCTTGAAGGTGAGATCCTCCGACATGATCACTCCCAGGTCTTTGACGTTGGTGTTTTCGCTCTATTTTGTGGCCAGAATTTGTTTGTACTCTGATGAAGATTTAATTTCCTCATGTTTACCATATCTGAGTAATTGAAATTTCTCATCGTTGAACTTCATATTGTTTTCTGCAGCCCACTGAAGATTTGGTTGATGTCTGCCTGGAGCTTTGCAGTGTCTGCATGGAAGACACTGTCATGCAGATTCGGGTGTCATCTGCAAAGGAAGACACGGTGCTGTGGCTGACATCCTTGTCTATGTCGGATATAAGGATGAGGAACAAGATGGGAGCGAGTACTGTGCCTTGTGGAACAGAGCTTTTCACCGTAGCTGCCTCGGACTTTACTCTGTTGACGACTACTCTCTGTGTTCTGTTAGTGAGGAAATTATAGATCCATCGACCGACTTTTCCTGTTTATTCCTTTAGCACGCATTTTGTGCGCTATTAGCCATGGTCACACTTGTCGAAGGCTTTTGCAAAGTCTGTATATATTACATCTGCATTCTTTTTGTCTTCTAGTGCATTTAGGACCTTGTCGTAGTGGTCCAATAGTTGAGACAGACAGGAGCGACCTGTTCTAAACCCATGTTGCCCTGGGTTGTGTAACTGATGGGTTTCTAGATGCGGGTGATCTTGCTTCTTAGGACCCTTTCAAAGATTTTTATGATATGGGATGTTAGTGCTATTGGTCTGTAGTTCTTTGCTGTTGCTTTACTGCCCCCTTTGTGGAGTGGGGCTATGTCTGTTGTTTTTAGTAACTGTGGGACGACCCCCGTGTCCATGCTCCCTCTCCATAGGATGGAAAAGGCTCGTGATAGGGGCTTCTTGCAGTTCTTGATGAACACAGAGTTCCATGAGTCTGGCCCTGGGGCAGAGTGCATGGGCATGTCATTTATCGCCTGTTCGAAGTCATAGAACTTCATTCTATTAAACCGAGCATAGGTTACTGGCCGTCTTCTTGTCATCAGTGCCGAGGTTGGGAGACCACTCTCTCCCGCCTTTGCATTGGTCACACTCGTCTTACTCATGGGTATCTCATGGAGAGGCACCCTGTTCCTCTCTGTGAGCAGTGTCAAGTTCCAGTATCGATTAGCCACATTCTGTTAGACTGCCCTCTCTATCAACGAGCATGCAGAATTTACCTCCAACGTCGTCTTCGTTCTACTATCTCTTTACCTTCCCTTCTTGCTGATGGACCCTCCTTTAATCCTGGCTCTCTCATTGACTTCTTGACAACGACTGATTTACTCCACAAACTCTGATGATACTTTTCGCACTCCCCTCAGCCCTTTCTAGTTCAGTCTCTTGCTGCCCTTTACCCTTTCACCATCCACTGCCCCACTGTTATCCGTAACCTATTACTCATCCATCTCCCTTTTGCCACCTGATGCCCTCGCTTCCTTCCTGCCCTGCAGCGCTGTAGAGTCCTTGTGGCTTAGCGCTTCTTTTTGATTATAATAATAATAATAATCCATTTTAATAAATATGCATAATTCTTAGAAAATAAGGTGTCATATTTAGCACGTGGGGCCAGGCCACTCAAATACAAATGGAAATAAAAACCTTCGACTTTTTTGGGGGGTTTTCCTAGATAATTTACTCATGTTACTATATATGATAATTGTGCATATGTGTACCTCAATAAACTTAAACGAACTTTTTTTTTTTTTGGGGGGGGGGGGGGGGGAGGAGGTTATCCTAGGTAATTTACACGCTATTACGTGTGATAATTGTGGTTATGGGTATCTGTACCTAAATAATTTACTTATCTAAAAACAAAGACAAATTCATATTGAAATAACTTTGGACAGATGTTTCTCGCGGGTTAAAACGTTTTGGTGGAGGTTGAGAGTGTTAGTGTGACATGTGACGCAGCGGGAGTGACGCTATCATTGTTCTCTCACCATCAACGTTCATCTATCTTAATTCCTCTGTGGAAGCTGATATTCTCTTACGTATAAACCCAAGTTCTGGGTATTTAATTCCTCTCGGCACTGGAAAAAGAGTTAAGAAGGTGAGTGGTGGACACGAGTATTGTACTGACCATAGTGCATATTTTTGTTGAAAAAAAAACAAACCTGATGAACATTAGTTTAATATCTGTATTATGTACCCCATACCTATGGTATGGGCGGTAGTCAAAATATTACAGAGGTACATAATGGGTCCAGGGAGTGAGCCCCAGAGTTTTGATAGGTCAAGTTATAAAGATAATGAAAGTTTTACATGTCTATATCTGGTCACAATAATGACCAAGTTTCAAAGATAATGAACCATCTACACGTCTATACATGGTCACTATCATGAATAAATTACAAAGTAATGAGCCATCCACACGTCCACAGAAGAACTAAGAGAACATTCACCAAGAACACATTAAGGAACACCAGTTGACTCAATAGATGATGTATATTACAGATGAGGTTCAACATCATTAAAATTACGGGATGTACACTTAAAAAATGTATTTAACCCCACATATATATGTTGAGTTTAAACTTTTTTTTTTAAGGGGGTTGTATGACCCTAGAGGGTTTAGCGCTTCTTTTTGATCATAATAGTAATCATATTTAAGGATTTAGTAAGTTTATTCAGGTATAAGTACACATAAATAGTTATACTAATTATCGTATATAGTAGCAAAGTGACTATTTCTATTGAGGTTCTTGATTAAAGTATATTCTTAGTAAGTAAGTAAGTAAGTAAGTAAATTTATTCAGGTATACACAATACAGTTACATAGAATTATCATACATAGCAGCATATGTGTAGAGAACCTGGGATAACCCAAAAAAGTCAGACAGAGTGACTTATTTCCATTGGGGTCCTTTTACCTTATTATTATAATATAAAGGTTATAATATTTTCTTATTATTCTATAATGAAGATAACATCTTATCATACTAAAAAGACTATCTACTACACGAGGGTCATTAAGACTACAATACGAGGGTCATTAAGACTATCTACTACCCGAGGGTCATTACGACTATCTACAATACGAGGGTCATTACTAGGGATAAGGTAAAATTTACACGTATTTTAGCTAAAAAATAGAAAATCATTCCCCTCCCTTTCTGTTGCTTCATTCATCAGACACTTTTTGGCAGTCTTCTTGAACTGGTTCATGCTATGACTGGCTTTGACATGTGCGGGTAGTCTGTTCCATTCCTTTATTGCTGTACAATAAAAGGTGTTTGAAGCCTGGCCACTGACTGTGGGTACTACAAAGTTGTGCTCTCTCCCCCTAGTACTTGATTGTTAGTGAAAGGTTCCCTGCAGTGCTGTATGACCCTTGTGGGTTTAGTGCTTAGTTATGATTATAATAATAATGGTGAAAGGTTACTTGATGACTCTGCTGTACTGGATAACCTTTAAACCCCATTAAATTACCAGTGTTTCTACACCTTAATGATTTAATAAGACGATTTTATTTCTTTGTGGTACAAATAATGTAGTTAACATATACTAAAACCTTGAGTATACACAGTAAGTAGGCATAAAAGAAAATTGTTAATTATGCAGTGCATTTTGGGGAATTTGTCATACCTGGAGTTTACCTGGAGAGAGTTCTGGGGGTCAACACCCCTGCGGCCCGGTCTGTAACCAGGCCTCCTGGTGGATCAGAGCCTGATCAACCAGGCTGTTACCGCTGGCTGCACGCAATCCAACGTACGAGCCACAGCCCAGCTGGTCAGGTACCGACTTTAGGTGCTTGTCCAGTGCCTGGGTGGCCCGGTGGCCTGGTGGCTGAAGCTCCCGCTTCACACATGGAGGGCCTGGGTTCGATTCCCGGTGGGTGGAAACATTTCGACACGTTTCCTTACACCTGTTGTCCTGTTCACCCCTTTAGCAAAAATGGAAATGGGTGTTAGCGACTGGTTTTGGGTGGGCTTTCCTGGGGGAAAAGTTTAAAGGCCCCCAAGGAAAAAAAAGTTAGCCCCAGTCCTCAATGATGAACTGACTTTTTTGGGGTTTTACCCTGGGTGGCTAACCCCCCGGGGTTTTAAAAAATCCGAACGAAAATTTTAAACTTATCTTTTTCTTAAATTTACAGCCAGGGGTCTTTTGGAAAATCCCTTTTTTGTTTTCGGGGAGGTTTAAAAAGGGTTACTTAAGATTTAGATATTATTAAGAAAGGCCCTCCATAGTAAGTTTTTAGTGTAAAAATCAAATAAAAAAATTTTATTTCTTTGAAAAGGGGTTACATTGTATGTGTATTTTTTCAAAATTTGTTTTAAAGTACAAAGAAAACCCTGTCTTTGCCAAGGCATTTGGGGCAGGCTTAACCTAAATTTAAAGAATCCTTAAGTTAGACAGGTGAAGAGGGTAGATTAAAAATTATTTAATATTTTATCTTTTATTAACTTGAGGTTGCCAAAAAATTTTTGTTAAAAAATACTTTTTTTAAATGTAATTTTTTTTTTAGTCTATTTTTTTTATGAGGCATTTACAATTAAAAATACAAAACAAAAGAACTTTAAAAACAAAGGGAAACCCAATCCCAGGGGCCCCTACGGGCCCCATGGAGGAAAGGGCCGGGCCCTCCTACCGGCTTAGCCAATGCCCCCAACCTAGTCAGGTCAGGTCACATTGACTTAAGGGGGAAAACACGGAAAATCCGCCCGGGTTTGCCCAAGCTATTCGGGTTCCAACCCCACCCACCCACCCCACTCATTATTTACCCAAACCTTTTTTTAAAACCCTAAAAAAACTTTTGGGCCCTCTTAATGTACTTGGGAGTTTTTTTCCCAAAACATCCACAACTTATTCCCAAAAACCAGTATTTTTCCTTTTCCTTCCTGAATCGAATTTTTCCAATTAAAAAACCATCCCATCCCCCGGGCCCGGGGATTGGACCCGTGGTCAGAGAGTCTAAAAACTCCACCCCGGGGCTTTAGCCACTGGGCCCGGGCTAGCCCAATAAGATTCGTCCAATGGGTTTATATTTTACCCCTTTGGGGAAGGGTTTTGGCAAGGAAACCACTGTGCCCAAAAATGAAGTTTTTACAGAAAAATCTCCAGTTTGGTCCCCCCCTTGACAAATTTCTAGCTAAATTCCCTTCACTGCCGTCAACTGACTCCGAAAATTTTAAATTGACACGATTGCAAAAAAAAAAACCAACCCTGGCCAGGATTAAACCCGGGGAAAAACTTCCAAATGGTGTAGAAATTTACCCAGTTGGCGAATCTTATTGTGGCTAGCGGGTTTCTAGTGGTAACGGGGACGGGCTGGATTTTTGAGACTCTGACCGCGGGTTCAATCCCGGCCGGGGTATGGTTTTTTTGCAAGGTTTTTTTTAAAGATTTCGTGAGTAAATTTAAAAACCCCTTTCCCTGGATTTCCTGTCTGGCTAGATATTTTCTGCCCACTACTTACTTCCCCTTTATTTTATTCCTGTTTTCCTTTTTAACCCAATCAAAATCCCCCCTAATTCAAAGTCTTTTCTGGGAAAAGTCCCAGATTCACCCCCCTTAGTCTATCCTCATGGGGGAAGGTTTCTGATCATGGGATAAATTTTGGGTAATCCTCTTTTTTCCTTTTTTCCAGAGCATTTATATCCTTCTGAAATTCGGTCCCAAAAAAAATTTGTGCAGACAATCAAAAATGAGGCCAAACCCAAAGGGAAATTTTATAGGTTAAAAGAAAAACCCTGGGGAATCCATTTTTTATGTTTTCTTGTTATGAACCCAAGGTTTTCTATTAGCTTTATTGCGAACACTTTTTCCCACTGTTGTTTGGTTTAGATTACTGCTAACCAGAACTTTCCCAAATCTCTTTTTCGCAATCCGTAATATTAAAATTACATTATTTAGTTTATATTTTGGCAGGTTATTGTCCTGTCCAACATTTAGAATTTTGCATTTTGTCTATATTAAAAATGAAAAACCCCTTCTCCGGGCCACTGCATAGTTATTTAAATCTTCCTGGAGTGCTCTAATGTCCTCGTCAAAAATGAAATTTTTGGGTATTTTGGTTTCATCGGCAAACTTGCGATGTCACTCTTTATGCCCTCCTATGTCGTTTTTGTAGATTGTGAAAAAGAGGGGGCCCAACCCCTGACCCTGTGGAACACTGCTCGTGACACTTCCCCACTCTGATTTTCCCCATTTTTTGCAAAACCCCTGCTGCCCATTTGTCAAAAAAACCCTGCCCCCTTTCCAGGGGAAAAAAAATTTTCCTTTATTCCCCGGTGCCTTAATTTTTTCCCCAATAGTCTCTGATGTGGGACCCTGACAAAAGGGCCCTTTCTGAAGTCCCCTTTTACCCCAACCAAATTTATTACCATGATTTCCTCCTCAAAAAACCTTAGTGAAAAAAGTTAATTTAAAATTTGTAAGGGAGGGGAAAGCCCCTTTGTAAAAAAAAAGCTGATTTGTTTATTTTAAATTTTTGTTTTTAAGGTGGCTATGAAATGCCCCGGGGAGTTCGAAGCTAAGGACCTGTCACCTGCTTTGGAAAAAAAAGGTTCACATTTGCCAAATTTTTCCCCTTATCTGGCACCTTTCCAGTTTGTAGGATATGTTGAAAAAGATTAGGGCCAAAAGGGTTTTCTAAGCTCCCCTTTACATTTCCTTTTAAAAAAACCCTTTCAAAGTTCCCTCAGGGAACCCGGGGAAATTTTTTTAGGGTTTTTTTAAAAAATCTATTTGCCTAAGGGGCCATGTTTACTTGTGACCCTAAATCGTGCCCCAGTTTATTAAACGTCTGTTCTCATAAATTTTAAATTTTTGGAATTTCGTGGATTTCCCCCTGTGTAAAAAATGGAGGGAAACATGTGTTTTAAAAATTCTACACATTTCCCTTTCAATTTTCAGTGGGCTGGGGCCGGGAATTTTTAGTTGGCCTTTCTTTTCCCCGGGTCTTTTCTTCTGTATTCCGGGAAAAAATCCTTTTGGGTTGTTTTCGATTTTTCTTTCAACTTTTAAACCTTTTTATTTTCTTTTTGCCTTTTTCTAATTCCCCTTTTTTAAATTTTTCTCTTTTAATGAATTTATTGAAATTTTTTAATT